GAACACGGCCCGACCTCCTCTACAGCATGAGCCGACTATGCAGCATGGTATCGAAGAACCCGAAGTGGGTCATCAGAGCTGCGGGCTATATCCTGGGCTACCTGGACTCGACGAAGGACTGGGGGGCTGTGGGTGTCTGGAGAATCTGGACGGCATTGGAGCGGCCATGGAGCAGCAGGACTTCAGGCATACGCTGATGCCTCCTTCGCCCCACTTGGGGAAAGAAGCCAAGGATGCTCCCTGGTGTCGTGGAACGGCACGGTCATCGCGTGGAAAGCAGGGAAGCAAGCATTTCCGGCCTTATCCACGGCGGAATGTGAGTTGATCGAGGCCATCGACAGCGTGATCCTTGGGGACAGCGTTGAAGCGCTGATCACGGACACCTTGGGGCTGGACGACTTCAAGAAGATGCTGCTGTCTGACAATGCAGCAGCGGTGGCGATAGCCACGGACGTGACGGGATCCTGGCGAACGCGGCATCTTCGGCTTCGAGCGTTTCATCTTCGGTGGCGAATCAGAGCCGGGGATTGGGAGTTGCGCCATTGCCCTGGACAACAGATGTTGGCCGATCTTGGCACAAAGCCACTGGGCCCAGCGAGGATCAAGGAGCTGTGTGCCTTGTGGAATCTGAAGGCCATGCGAGAAGAGGATGAACAAAGCAGGCTGAACAAGGCCGTGGTAGTGCAGCCGGAGGTGGACAAGTGGATCAAGCTGCTGGTGATCTTGATCATGATCACAGGATGCCGAGCTCAAGGGAATCAACAGCCGGAGGAGGAGAAGATTGACCTTGCGGTGGTGGTCTTGGTGATCGCAGTGGTGGCGATTGTGGTGTACCGCTTGGTCCACGAGGTGGCATCGGACATCTGTCTGAAGGTGAGAAGATTGAGAGTGAGGGGTGTGGAGCAGAGCACCCAGACGGAAAGTGAGGAAGAAGTCATCGAGGTGCCGAGGACACAGAGCTCTTCGGCGGCCAGGTCTTCCAGCTCGGGAAGCGGGAATCCCTCAAGGGCAAGTTCAATGAGGAGGCGCCGAGGGGGAGACGCTGATCGAGCAGAACAGCCAGTTGCAGAGCAACCTCAGCCGAGGCCAGTGGAACCGGATGCGGAGGACGAACGCTTGAATGCACGCTGGCGGGAGGAGTTGCGGGTGATGGAGCAGCTTCGGTGGCGGGAGTTGCAACCGGAGCCCGAAGCGGTCGAGGTATATCACTTGACCGGAATGGGCGACAAGATTCATTGGCGCCGCAACTGTTATGGGTTGCGAAATGCCACAGTTCGCGGAATGCGGGCGGTTTTGCCTTGTTCCAGATGCTGGATGGGAGGAGACAGGCAGCGAGTTCGTGGGGCCAGGAGCTGGAGAGGAGATGACGGCTTCTTGCACGCGTCGATTCACTGCGCCGGCATTGGGCAGGCTCCACTTCGACCCTTGCAGCCATGCAGTTTCTGCCAGGGAGGAGTAACCCAGGACAATGAAGAGATGATGAGGGACGCGGGCCGGTTTCCGCGTGGACTTCTATGAGCGGCTTGAGCTGAACACGTTCTTCGGATGACGTGAGAGGCTCGCAAGGCAGCACAGACTGCCGACTTTTGTCATTTGAGTCCTCCCGGACACAAAGGGGAGGAGTGCAGGTTTTCCAAAACAGTTTGAGATTTGATTAGGAGCGGATTCTGAAGCCGCTTTGGACTCGAGCGCGCAGACAAAAGTGCGCCGGACTGATAGCCAGATTCACAGAAACAACCCGGTTTTATTTGTAGATCGCCCGGAAAGGGTGATTCCATATACATATATATATATACATATATATTATTATCATTATTAGATATAGGGTATAAATAATATATGTATATAGGGTTCCCACGGTGTCGTATAGAGAAATTATTGGCTCCTTTCTACGCGAGGACCCCGACAAGCGGAAGGAGCTACAAGGAATTGCTGGACATAGTCTCTATATGCGTTCCGTTGTTATGAGCATGATTCATGCTTCAGGCGCGGAAGAATGGGGTCGCTTCACGAGTTGTTTATTTTTTTTGTTTGGGTCCACACCCGCTTGAAAAGACGGCCAAATGGGATGACTGTTTCTATCCGTCACAGGACAGCATGCTGAGGGGTGAGACCCGCCGCAGTCTATTGGAAGCAGTGTGGCAAGTCAAATCTCATGTCCGACTGAGCTGCTTGATTTGCCGATAGCGAGCTGGTTGCTTGGCTGGCTAGTTGTTCAATGGGCATGCCAGCTGCTTGATGGACTAGTTATTTGCAAACATCAGAAAATTTCAACACAAAGCACAGACAGGTTCCAGCTTCTGGTTTCGGTCTCATTTAGTGCTGCCTACACTTCTGAACATCAATATGGAACCCCTGATTCCAGAAAGAGAGTATGTGCCCCATCCACATAAGATCCCCCTGCCGTTGTTCTCCACCAGTGGGGGAAACGAGACAGGGCCACAACAGATGGGCTCTTGGCTAGATTGGTGGTCCTTTTGCCGCCTTGTCGACAAATTGGGTCCAAGTTTTTCCAGTTTATAGTCGCACTATCCAACAATGGCAGGTAGAGCGAGGATTGAACAAGTAACGCGGAACATGAATCAGCCTTGTTAGTACGCTAATGTACTGCTGCTGTACCCACCCACTCTCCCAATTTTTCAGGGAGGCCCTTGTTGAATGTTGGGAACCCTTTGCGTGTTTGGACAAACAGCCACTTTGCTTGGTCAATAAGTAGGCACACCTAGACGTCTGCTTCGACGCAACAGAGGAATAATTTGTACGTTGCATGCACTCTTCCTAGTGAAGTCTCTCGGTGGTTTGTGTGTGCATGGACTTCCCTTCCCTAGTGGCCCAGCCAATTCCAAGCAATTTTGCAATAGTAGCTCCTTTACCTGAATCCAGCCCTGCTTGTTGGACTCGTTGTACTTGTCATTTGAATTTGCGCCCTAGCATGCATTGTTTGCCGCACTCGCGTGAAGTGACTTAATTGTTGGTGTCCTTGCTGTGATCCGAATGAGGCTCAACGGCATCTCAACGTTTCTTTACTTGCCTGTTGATTCTGTGCGCGAGTTGTTCTTGCTAGGTTTCGTGGTCCTGGTCGTCGGGCAGTCGGTCTGTGCGTGCTTCTTTTTGCTTTCGCGGATTTTGTGATTGTGGCTTTTGGGCGGTTTTTGCAGTTGTTGCCTTTCTCCTTCCTCGGCATCACCAGCAACCCTCAATAGCACTATTGCCAGGATAGTGCTTGCAACCCACCCTAAACAATTACTATACGATACCTAAACCACCAACCATCAACACTAAACAAACCCCTTATAAGCAAAGCCCTATTCCAGCCCTGACCAATCCTAAACCAACGCTAAATCCACATTAAACCAGCACAAAAGCACCCCTAAGCCAGCCTAAGCCTGCCATAAACCCACCAAACCCACGCCCAAGCCAGCGCTAAACAAATAGTAAGCAAGTTCTGCCCCACTCCTAGACCCACCCCAAACCCACACTAAACCAGCACAAATCTATCCCTAAGCCGTCCGAAGCCAGACTAAACCCGCCCTAAACCCCCTCTAAACCAAAACCAGTATAGAAACCTGAAGCCCACCCTAAACCAACCCTAAACCAACCGTAAACAAACCCTAAACAAACCCTGAACCAAATCGAAACCCACACCAAACCAACCCCCTAATCCCACCCTAGAACCACCACAAACCCATATAAACCTGACCTTAAGCCCACCCTAAACCAACACTAAACCAACCCTGAACATTCCCTTTCAACAACCCCCAAGCCACCCTAAACCAACCCAAAAACCACCCTAGAAGAACCAAGCTCCGCCGAAACCACCTTAATAAATCCTTGCTTCTGGTGAGGACCCGGGTGTTGAAAACGATAGGTAATGAGCCTGACTCTTGCCAGGTCGCCGAAACAATCCGAAACATTTGGCACACCTCGCAGCAAGTTCCCCTCGTGTTCGAAGGGGGGCAACACAAAGGTTCACCTCGTCAAGCCTTTACATGGTCCCCATAGCCTGACCCAACCTGAGCAAGTGTCAACCCCGCCAATGCCTCACTCTTGATGTTCCCCCAGCCATGAAAGGAATAAAAGGGAAGCAACTGATTTTGCCCATTCCGCCAGGAGAATTTGAGGGGCTGAATGGTCCAATGGCCGTTCCGTCTTCTGCTGGAAGGAGCCGCAAAGGTTGAGTCCTTCCATGGCTAGCAGCTTGTGCTAAGCGCAGTGCTGTAGGCCTTCCAAACGCGTTTATTAAATTTGGGCTGCTTGGTTCAGCAGCTTTGCGGGCCGCCGCTGTGTGTCTGCGTGGCTGGGGAAACTCTCAGCTAGCCGCATGTCTAGTTTCTTCATGTTTGGCGCTAGAGCGCCAAACGAAAGAGATCGCAATTTCTATGCCAAGCTGCACGATCTGCGGTGCTGAACTTTGCGATAAACCAGAGCTTTGTGCACTTGCGCAGCGCCGTTGGCCCATGTGTGCGCTTTTAAAACTCGCCTCAGCCTGTTGGATTTCTTTTCGTTGCGATGTGGGTCCGGGAGCCGACTTTTCGCCCTTGTGGCAGCCTTTCTGCGCCATATTCATGGGTTGGACATTGGAACTCTGTGAAGAGGTTGGCTGGGCAAAAAGCTGGCCCATGGAGCAAGGGTTTGCTTTAAGCGACGCTGGATTCCGTTGCAAATGAAGTGAGCCAGCAGTGTCGTTTCAGGACAGCAAGCAGAATCAGGCAGTTGTAGCCCTTGATTGATAATGCCCTGATCTGTTGGCCGGCCATTCTCAAAGGGAAGTTAAGGAGTTGCACCCCCGGGGCCAAATCTGCGTCTGACTGAAACTTGGGGTCGGTCACGAACAACGAGTCACCTGACAGAGGTAGAGGGCCGCTACACGAAGCACCGGGGTCCTTTTAGTCTGGGTGATTTAGACATCGACTCTTGGGCCGTTAGAAAATGGACACTGAGTGTTCTTTCGCTGGGGTGATGTTTCGTGGGTTCACATCTGCCAGTCAAAAGCTTTCCAGGGGAGGTGTACTACACAGCTCCAGCCAGAGGCCCAGACCGAGCCAGGCAGGCAGGCAGGAGACCCCAAAGACCTTGGAAAGCAATCCCGGTTGGAGTCCTTGGAGCGCCCCAATTCCATCATCGGAGACAGGTGTTGTATTCTCGCATGGTTTTGCTTGCTGCGGCAAATCTCAGAGAACTAGATCCAGATATGCATAGTGTGATTGATCCATGTGCAGGGTCGCAACGAGCCTTTTTTGTTTCCAGGTTCAGACTCTGGTCCCAATAGAAGCAATGCATGTGTCTCGCCCAGCAAAGCATGTGCGGTCATCGCTGAAGCTGTTTAATCGGAATTCCCTTGATTCCCATAGGGATCCAAACGTGTCCAGCCCGCAGAAATACACTCGCTGCCTTAAATTGCAGCTTTACGAGGTGCGCCGAGACCCTCAATTTGTTCACCCGGCACCTCACTCCCCGAGTTGACCTTAAACTTTTGGCCAAGACCAGTTTAGTGGTACATCAACAGTTTGGACTCTTTGTGGCCAACCCACTCAGGAAGCGAGATACAGCTAAGTCTGGGCCTTGCGACACTACTGCAGGCCATGTTCTTCCTACAAGCGACTTGGCTCGAGCACCCCTGCCACTGTTTGCTCGCTTCGGGCCATTGGCTCGGAGGGGGGGTCCCAAAGGGAAGGCAAGTCAGTCCAAATGTCCAAATCTCAGGTAGCGCATGGGTGTTTGGGATTGCCGTGGAACTGGGAATTGTCCCAGCAGCCATTTGAATTCACTGATGAAAAGCTGCAAAAAGCGCACCTGGAAGGAAGTTCCGGCGTCCGAGGAATGTCCTCTTTGGGTTCAAGCGTCACCGTTTGCGAATGTTGATTGAGTTTCCTCAAAGGGAGGGAATGTGCCTGGGTTGGACCTGTGTGCCATAGTCAAGGCACCCAGAGACCTTAGTTGTCTTAGTCGGGTCGGTCATGGACGTTTTTGACAACTGTAGTAAGGTTCATATATTGAGGGAAGGGCCGCCCAAAAGGAAGTCGCTACCCACCAACCTGCAAAACCCCATAAGGCTCCACCCGGTATCCTTGAACTTACATGTCTACTGTTGCCTAGGGGATCGCTGAGGGCCATGAATATGGCAGAATATAGGGGCCGCACAAATGGGTGGTTGTCCTGTCGGTTCCCTACACCTGAAAGGGTAGCACAAGCCATCATGGGTGTGTCGTTTTTTAGGGGAGCCTCTAGTGGTTGTCCTTTTGGGTTTCCCATTAAAATCCATCCCGACAGAGGCACCCTCAAAAGAAAGACGCCATCAACCCCGGCAACCCCGGCTGATTTTAAGTGCCGCCAGGCTGCTACTATGGGTGGCCCAGCCCAGCCAGGACAACGCCGCATTGCCCCGGCGCTTTCGAACTGCCCGCGCCTCAGCCGATCGCAGGGCTGCTCCGAGCCTCATGAAAGCCCACGGCTAGAAAACAGGTGGTACGACAAGGGCAATGCAATGGTTTTTGTGTTGCAGGTGATGTATCCTGACTTGCAAGACTTCACCGCTTTGGCCCATAGTTGCCAGCAGTTCGACCTTCACCAGATTTTGTGGTTTCCAGCAGTTGCCGTTGTCCTTGTGCCATGCGCTTCGGAGCAACCTAGTTTTGGTCGGCGAGAATGAGGGCCCCCTTTCATATCAACAAAGCCTGTTGCAAAGGGGGTTGTGTGCCCCTGCAATAATTTCCCTTTAAACTAGAGATCTGCCTAGGTAGCAGGATACAGATATATATATATATATATATACATGGATCATGGAGCTCTTAGAAAAAGGGCTCCAAGAGATGCTTCGACTGCATGTTGGCTTTTGAAGGGATATGTTTTGGGCTGGCAAAGTATCTTATGCTTTGTGGCACGGGAAGCCACCTCGAAGGATGCAATATTATGTGTTCGCTGGCGGGCACAAATTTAAAGAAGCTTGAGAGGGTGTCCAAGTGCGTGCATGGCGTGCGTGCATGTATGTCTATGTGACTTATGTGGTTGTGTGTGTGCGTGTGTGTATGTGTCTCTTTGCGCGTTTGTGTTTGTGCTTGAAACCTGGATCATTCAAGATCCATCTCCAAAAAGGAGCGCGGTATTTTTGGCAGAAGTGGAAAGCAAGCCCCACACATCGTCCTGCCAGAGGCGTCAATTCTTTGTGGCATGCGTCCATGTGAAGGCTCACTGGGTTTGTGAGGCAGGGGTTGTTCTTTGAGATTTCCTGTACCAATTCCCTCGGCTTTTGCTTCTCTTCTCCCAAGAGACATCCGGAACAGGGTCCTTTTGCTTGACTGCCTTGCTCTCAAGTGGTTGTTTGCCTCCCCGGTAGAAGTTGGTTGAATGTATGAAACTTAGACTCAAGCCCGCAGGGCTCCATGTTTGTTGTGCTTTTGCCATGACTGCAGATGAGCAACACCTCGCAAGGACCCCTTGGATGAGTTGCCATGATGTGGTAGTGAAAGGGTGGACAAGAGTTTGTGCTAAATCATGATCCCAGTTGCCCAGCGGTGCCCTGTTTTCCTTTTTTTTGAAAGGGTTCCCCTTTAAAGTCAACCAACCAGAAAAAGTCGGATGCCCTTTTTTTCCTCTGGCTAGGCATCTGAGTGGTACCCCCCAAAATGAGCAAAATGATTGCCTCTCGGGCACCGTGCCTTAAACAAAGAGCGGGTCACAAATCCAGCAGCTCTCGTTTGGGTGCTCTCTGCGTTGTTTGGGGTTGGTTTAATATGGGCAACCACATCCATGTTGGGTAGGGGTTCACATTTTTGAGACACGGCCATACTATATTGTTTCTGTAATTGCCTGACCCCAAATAAACTCAGTGGGCCATAGTATGTGGTTCTACTACCTGGTCCATCGGGGCTTTAAGGGCCCTGATGGGTAGTTTCAACTGGTTTATCGTTGACCACCAGTCAAAAGGAGGCTTCACCATTGAGAGACCTTGTAAATTCCCTTGTGATCATTTTGGTAGAAACAAAAGTCAATGTCGGGCGCAGAGTCCTTCCTAAGGTGCTCTTCCTGGATGTTTTTGGGGATGGAGTCGACCCCACCGACGCAGAGCCGGCAGCCCGGGCCAGCGCGAAGTAGCGTTGGGATGGGCTACTGAGTGAGCTGTGCGCGCCTTCACCTTCTCTCAAGAAGCGAGCGAACCAGGAGCGTCTAGAAGAAGTTATCCAAATTCCCGCTCACTTCTAGAATTTTGTGTAGGTGTTTAGATTCCCATCGAGAACAAGCAACTTACTATCAGTTGGTGAAGTGGGTGCTGTTTGCCCTCCATGCCCTTTGCCCTTGGCTACAGAAGACATGATAGGGGTTTCTTAAATAGGTGTCCCATAAAATGCCTTAGTTTGCGTTTGTTTTCCCTTTGAATACTTGGATCGACCATTCTGAGAGAATCCTGATTTGTCCAAAGTCATGTCAGCAGCAACTCGGTCGGTGATAAGCATGCCTGTACGTGTTTGATGCCGATCGTGCCAGGTGCTGCCTTGTCACAAGGTCAATCGGTCATGTGACCATGAGAAATCTTGCGAAGATGTTTGGCACGTCCAGGACAAGCTATGAAAAAGGAGCCGAGTGTCCAGCAGCAACCTAAGCGCGCATTTGAGTAGAAGGGAAAAGCTGCAAGGTTTGTTCGAAGGAATCTCCATTCTCGGCAGGGATTGGTGTTCCAAGTGGAGAAAGGAATCTCAGCAAGACTCAGACCCCGAGAAAGAAACCCGAGCCATTGAGGATCCGGCCCAACTTGACTACCACAGCCTGGTCAGGTGAGGAGGACTGGCCGCGGTGAAGTTGGCTAGAAATAGATGGCACTGGTTTAGATTGGTTTTATTCCATTTACCGCCAGCTATTTTCCCTACAGGTCACCTATGATCGATGTATCTGGCAAATTTATAGTTATACTTTCCCCATTCTTTCCGGGATCCTTTGTTTCAGGGCGGATGAAAGGAAGAAGGATCATGGAACCCCAACCCCATTGCTTAAGAGGAGCTGTGTGACCCCTCTTTGTTGAAGGATCCGGATAGAGTATGCCTAGAAACAGCGGTAGCCCAATTTCGGCCTGGTTTTGAAGCCAAGAGTCAAAGAGGACATCAACCAAGCCAGGGACATACTTCTGTGATCCCAGGGAGCCTTGAAGAATCAAGCATTGGGAAGGTCCCCTTCCAATGTACCGAAGAGGGCAGTTTCCAGAACCTTGACTCTGACCCATGTTGGGGTTGATCAATATGCCTGGGCCCCCAACTGACCATGACTAACTTTTCCCATTTATCAGTTTGACATATTTGTTTAGTGCGATCCCCCCAGTGGCCATCCCGTGCATCACGGACCTGATGATCAACCCCCATGTATCAGAGGATTTAGATCAGGAGAGCAGGAATTGGCTTCCGATCGCTTGCGAAAGGCAAAACAAAAAAGACGAACCAAGCAAACAAGCAGCAACAAAAAACAAACCCCCAAACCCCCCCCCCCCCCCAACCCCCCAAACTCCCCAAACCCCCCAAACCCTCCAAACCCCCCAAACCCCCCAAACCCCCCAAACGCCCCGAACCCCCCAAACCCCCCAAACCCCCCAAACCCCCCAAACCCCCCAAACCCCAGCACCCCCCCCCCAAAAAAAAAAAAAACAAACCACACGCCCCCCCAACCCAACCCATCCGCCAGGAGCTCCGGGCGGAGCGCTTCGCCGGCGCGGAGGCGGCGCTGGGCGTGGCCGTGAGCGCGGTGCGGCGCTGGGAGGCGCACGCCGCGGATGCCGCCGGGGGGTTTTCCGGTAAATTTCCCAGGGTTTCGGAAGGTTTCGGGTTGGGCTGCGGGTGGTTTTTGTTGGTTTTTAGGGTTGGCGGGTTGTTGTTTTGAAGACCGACTAAAGATGACAGAGAGTCTGAGCAGAGTGTTTTGGCGCAATTTGGGGTCGGGCCATGGAATTGTGCGACGGGGTTGCCCGAAGCTTCAAATGAGCAACTCGTAAGGGTAGAAAAGACATTTGGTTTTTGCGTCGCAAGGGGGACGGGGCTTGGCTGCTTCTTACTCAAAACGGGGTGCTAAGGGCACCAAGCTACTTTTCTTCAGCCGCTTTGAACGTGGTTGAAACAGGGTTCAATGATTCTAAGAGTCTCAACCTGGTTTGACGTTAAAGGGAAGCCACCCTTTTTTAGGGGTTGGGTGACCGTTGGGTGGTGGATTTGTTTTTGGAGTTGTCAAAAGTTGAGAACATATGTCCCTGTCTTTGTTTGTTGACTCATTCCCTTGATGTGGCGGCCTTTTGCTCGGAGTGAGAGCGGGGGCAAAGCGGGCGTGGTCTTGCAGAGACAAACCTCTGGCTTGATGACCACCCTCCATTGAGCGTCGGACCCCTATGGTTCCATTTTTCGTTTGTCCCCCACTTCCCTTGGCTTATGACAATCAAACATCCAATGTTGGACATGCAAATATTGCCCTGGCACCTGACAAGAAAATGGCTGGAAGATAAATCAAATCAATTGTCCAGGTACTATGACGAGGTGGGCCATGCAAAACCAGAGGTGCAGCGCTAAATCAGATTGCTTGGCGGGGAGGGGGGGGGGTCGAATGGTCAACGGGTTGGATTGAGTCTGGGTAAAAGGAAATGTGAATTGAATCAAGTTAGCCAATGTGCAAGTTTCATGTTTTGGCCTTTTATCTTGATTGCTTCGCGCTTCGGTTTCAGGAACCGAGATTCATTCTCCATGAATTTCCTGGTAGGTCTCGTCTTTAACTTGCTCTTCGTACTTTTTTTTGTGAAGTCGCCTAAAACTACTAAAACTCCTGTATATGTTCGTGAGTGGTCGCTTTTTACGTTTTCCCCGCCCGTAAAACGCCCGCAAAAAGCCCGCAAACGCCCGCAAAACCCCGCAACACCCGCAAATCAGAAGAAGACGGTTTTCTGGTTCGAAAACGCCTAGGAAAAGGCCGGAGAATGAATCTTCAGGGCTTGTTTGATCCTTGGAAATGACGATGCTTCGTCCACTTACTAGCGAACAGTTGAACTCGAACATCCAGTTGGGTGCCCCTTGAATTCAACCGAAGAAAGGTGCTCCTTTTTGCCCGCGGTGATGGGAAATTGTGCAGCAGTCAATTTGAGAGGGACGTGGGGGACATATGGGTATGGGTCAAAAGCCCGGTTAGCCCCCAGTGAACATCCCAATCCCGACTAAAATCGACTACAATGGGGGGTGCACTTATCCCAAAACGGTACCATTGGTTTTGACACATGGCCATATGTTTTGGAACCCGCGTCATTTTGCGGGTTCTTTACTTCTCAACGTAAACCCGCTCCTGGCCAGGTAGCCCCAAGGGTGGTGATGTCTGACCTCCAGCAAGCGGAGCTGTCGCGCCCGCGCCTTATTGTTTTGGCCTTTTGGTCTGGGAGCTATGGATGCTTACATGCCAGTTCAGAACAAGCTTGTAAGGTATACCCCTTATAAGAGAGGTATGTGTGTATATACATGAATGTCTACACATGTGTCCTGCTTACTTTGAGGGGTACTACAAAAATCCGAGCTGACCTGGGAAGGAGAAGACGCTCACCTGTAAGATTCCCCCAAAACCGGCGGGGTGACGCAATGTTTCCATGTCCTCTTGGGGGTCAAACAATGATCTGCACAAATTATAGCGCACTTATCCGGGGAGTGAACACAAGTTCACCTACGAAGGTCCTGTACTGGGGGCTCCCTATTGTCCAGTGTGGGAATTAGAGCCATTTCCTGGTCAAGGGACTGGGTGCCTTTGGCTTCAGAATGGGGTCAGATCCACAGTTTGACAAACCAACTGAGGCAGGGCTTTCTAATTTCCCTCTAGCCTTGAAGCATCGCCTTTGGGCCAATTGAACTTGTGAGTTTCCTTCTTGTGTTCAAAGGGGAAGATTGGGGCTAGGGCACCAGAAATGTCGTGGCCGCTTGGGCAAAGTCAAGGTTCCAACAAGAGTAATGCTCCTTTAAACGACCTATTAGCGCCACGGGGTAATGAAAATGTCGGGTGCTCGAGAAATAGTTGCTCGACGTGTTGGAACACTGACGTTGAGGTGTTATGCCAGCTAAAGATCTGTGGGTGTCTACGTGTCGCAACGGTCGAATTTTGGCAAGGGCCCCTTGGATTGTGTTCAGGGCAGAACCAAGAGAAAACCAACGGACGGGCGGCTGTGAATCAATGCGTGGGTCATTTTGGGGAGGTCTTTAGGGCCCCACCCAAATTTCCCAAACAAAAACACCAGCGGATAGCCAAGTTTTCCCATATTTCCTTGAGGAATATGTCAAAACCACCCAGCGCATAGCCATGGTGTGTCGGGATGGTTGGCCAGGCCTTCGAGTGGAGCTGCAAATTTGGCGCCGGGCCTTGAAAGGAGCGAGGAAAGAGGGAGAGAGGGAGAGAGGGAGAGAGGCCTGTGGAGAAGACTCGTAGGAATGGAGTCGTGCTCTTTTTTTTTTGCGGCATTCGCTTGAAGTGGGTGTCCATGTCTGGTTTGGAAGGGTAACAGAAGTTGGGCTTAAATTAGTCAGGACCCATTGGTTCAACGGGGCTTGTCACACCTTAGTACACTCCCGTGACTTAAAGGGGCACCAGGGATTGCGAAAAGGACCCAATTTGAGGCGACGGCTTCGTTCGAGTCTCCCTTCAAAGCGACACCCGAGACACCGGGCCAAATCAAATGACAAGCAACCGCGGCAAAGGAATCCAGAGGAATCCAGGGCTGGTTCCTTTGACCTTCTTGCTTCAAACCCAGACGTTTCCAAAATCCGGTTGAGACAAAAAGCTGTTCTTCATGGGTAGGAGTCAACTAGAGGCAGGGAGAAAGCTGATTTTAGCCTTGGGAGGGAAGAAGTTTCCATCGTCCGCATGTTTGGCTCATTCAAAAAGGGGGGGAATATCAGTCTCCTTTGGCCAGGATTGGGCACCCAGGTTGTTGTGGTTTGCTTCCACAAGGGCGACGTTCAACTCGGATTTGTTTTATTAGCTGGCTGATTTACACGGGGCGGCCCATTTAAGAGGATTATTTTTGGAGGACATTGGTAAATCCGGGCTGAGCATGACCACTCCAGAATATGACACGGAAACAGCCCCGGGATCTAGAAGCTATGGGATGGATTGGCCTCCAAACTTCGATAATTGTGTTGCATGAAACAGAACACTTAGGCAACAAGAAAAGGGTTCCCAGTATGTTCCTCCATTTTGCGGATTCACAAATATGTTCCCATATGCACTACCGCACATGTGGGAACCCTTTTGTGTACACCCTCGCAGAGTCTGGAACTGTGAGTTTCGGTAGAGAGTTTTTCAACGGCTTTTGGATTGATCCGATCCCCTTTGGGTGGTTGTGAAATGCATAGGATGTTTCTTTGGATGAATCCGAGATCAACATGAACGGTTCTAGTTGCTTTTCAACCATACCCTAGAAAGAAAAAGAAACACGGCCCAGAAAGTGTGGAATCTCCCCATTTGGGAGATTCCGACATTCCAAAGCCCACCAACTCGTGCGAGTGGATTTCTCCATGATTATTTTTAGCTCGTGCGAATCTGTAAAGCAATTCCACATTTGTCAGGTTTACCCCGAGTTCAAGCTGGTTAGACCGACGAAGCCCCTAGCCACGTCCAAAGTACTGGGAGGGTTTGGGACATGTCGCCCGACAGGAGAGCTCGCGTGGCGAGCAGCTGCCAGGGGCGTGTGGTGAGCTCAGAAAAAGGCGGCTGAAAGGCCCCCTGTTTAACGGCCCAAACCCGAAGGGCTGGGAGGTTTTGTTTTGACATCCCCACCCTTTTTCTGGGTCTCCCAAGCTTGTAAGACCATTTTGAGGTCTCGAAATGACTTTCCCTTTCAACCATTTAAAGAGTGAGACTGTCGCTTTCGTGGACTCCGTTTCGGGGGTCAACTGTTGGACACCAAACGGGCGCCCCTTGTTCCAGAAGCTTGGCGTGGTGACAACTCGACTGTTTTCAACCAGCGAGCCCCTTTTCTTTCGGCCACTGCTATAGTTCTCCAGCTGAGTCATGGGGGCGGGGTCAAAAAGTCGAGACTTCACTTCGGGGAAGTCTCTCAGGCTCACTTTGCTGCAGAACCCCCGGCCCTTCAGGTCCCAACTGAAAACCATCCGTTTTGAGCACCAAGCAAAAAAAAACACGCGGCAGCTGGGTCTCAGGGGCCACTCAACAGGTCTAATCCCGCCCCCAACATCGACTGCAGATGGTGTTTCGGAGGCCGCACGAGGCAGACCTGGTGGCGGAGGATTCGATCAGGCGACTCGAGCGATTCAGCTGTGTAAGGGCAAATGGGTGTGTCTCCACATAGAAGCGTCAAAATTTGGAGATCGGTTTCAATTCCTTTCCCTTAAACAAGCCCCACAGGCGCTTGAGGCTCTAGCAAAGGTCCGCCCTGGGCTATTTGGTTCCACATGGCGCCTCGTGGTTAGAACCCTTGAGCTAATCCGCATGCTTCCATTTGGTGAGTGGAGGGCCTGGGAAACCAGCCAAGAAGGGTCAGTTTGGACTGGGACGATTCACCCCCTGCAAGGGGTCCCTCTCTGCGGCGATTCCTGCAACCCTGATGATTTTTTTTTTCTGGGAGAGGATAGTCAGGGGTCCAGACTGGTCCACATTTGTGAGGAACCCAGACAAGGGGTGTCTCCTATCTATGAAATCGGATTGGGAGTTCCACAACAATCTGCATTGTGGTTCCTCTGGAGACACCCCATTTGGGTGCACAAACCTTTCTGTTAGTCTCCACCTGAGCAGCGCCCAACGTTGACAATTTCATTTCATGGGGGTTGGGGTGAGGCCCGGACAGACCACTATAACCAAGCCAGTTGGCTTTGGGCGCTTGTCAACTGTGTCCCATGTCACTTTGCTTGGCCATGTGCTCGGCCCAAGCGAATCAGGGTTCAAGTGCCGAAAGCGAGTCGACCGGACGTTCCAATGTGGGGTTGTTGTGCAATGTTAGCTTCGGATTAGTCTGAGGAGCCCAGGAACCAGCCAGAATACATATGTATATATACATATAGCTTCCTTATTACTAAAAGAGGAGCCGCCCCTTGTTAGTACGGTCCTCCGGATAAATCCGCATTTGACCTCAGTCTCAGAATATGTTTAGCCAGTTCGGCAATTTAGACTGTCCTCAAGAGCCTCTTCAAGCACTCTCTAATCCGTTGCCGGGGCTCAAAGGCCATTCCCACTATACATTCAAAGGACCGCGTCGGGGATCACTTCAAGCATACGGCTGTTTGCAAGCCGCTTGGCATATCTCATGTGAAAAGCAATCTGAAGCCACCAGTCTAAATTCCTTTATACAGGTGGCAATTTGAAGCCGCCAGTACCACGCTGTACATCGGGTATGTGGAGCACAACCAGCAACACACGGCCCACTTGTATGTTCCACAACAAAACGACTACGGCATGGTCAAAGGGGCTTCCGAAACATGGGTGCCTCCCTTTAGATCCCGTAAACTCACAAAGGTGCCAACTCCAAACAATAGACATGCCCAACTGGAAATCAAGAGCTGTCATGGATCCGAAGTAGAGGGTCAGATCGGGAGGGTCTAGATCGGGAGGGTTTTTAAGACAACCCCAGAAATATATGTTGTGTATGTTTAAGTTTGTTTTGCAAAAAAACATATATTTGCAGACTTACTTAAATCATAGTACTTCCTGCAAATGTATTGTTTGAGCACAGTGTAGCTTCTTGATCCATGCCGGCACTGACGGGCACCATGTGAGTGAGAGGCTGATTGATTGAGTGGGCAGCTCATGACACATTGTGAATCTAAAGGCTGTGGAAGGTCATCTCAAGGCACAGAAAGCATGTCAGTGTAGAAACAATCAATTTGGCATGTCTCACAACACTACTTCAAAGGCAGGTAAAAGGCAGGGGCAATTTGGTTAGCCCCGAAAAGCTATCTCAAAAGTCTCAAACACTGCACGTGTGGGCATTTGTTATCTCAAGATATCTCTTTTTATCGCAAAACATATCGGGACTAATATATTACAATAGTACTTGAAAGGCAGTGTCAATTTTGGGAACCCCGAAAATCTATCTCAACAAAATCTCAAAAATATCAAAACAACAACTCGCACAATCTCGAACGTTCCATTTTGCTCAAGTAAAACGAGTGTCCCGTATCTCCTGGATTTTTGGTCAGGAAGCAGCAACACTACAGAACAGTAGGTCCGATTCGCGCAGTCAAACCAATTTGTTAAGTCAGACTGGGGTCAGCTGATGTTGAAACGTTGGGACAATCTGGAGCAACACAAGAGGCGGAGACGAATTGCTATATATATATATATGTATTGAGTGACGCTCGAATCGTACTGGAAAGTGATCTGGAACCGATAGGTGGCAAAATGACAAGCAGTCAGCGGAATAACCTGGAGTACAACACCAATTGGCGGAATATAGCTATAAAAGATGATGATTCAACTAAAAGACGCTAGACACGTACTGTATGAAAATAATGATTGACTTGAGAAAAATAATAATATATATGTCTTTTTCTTAGGTAAATGACAATATAGTTGCATACATCTACTGATCTGAGCCTGGACTTTCGGTCAATGAAGCTAGAGCAGCCCAGTTGTTATCAAGAGGTTTGAGGCCTGCAGCGCGCGCGCGCGCGTGTTTGTTTCATTTGGCAGGCCCTGGGGCGAGCTCTCAAGCGAGCAGGAGAGTGGTGAAGCTTGAGACACCCTAAGGCTCCCTCGTTTGGCCCTCAAAATGGGTGTTCATAGGCCCTGCGAGGGCAGGGAGGTGCCCTTAGGAGGGTTCATCAGCCTTTTTGCGCTTAGCCTGGGCGTGGTGAGTATGTTTGCTTGTCTAGGAAAGCCATTGGTGCTCCCCGCAGGAAGGCTAATCAGACCTGTCAGAGACTCTTCTAAGAAGGCAGGCTCCATCAGAACCTTTCTGGGGGATTTTCTGACAGTTTCAGGAAGTTTTCTAGTTCACTACGTGTCACACTGCGAACTGAGAGCTCCTGGTGCCGCATAAACGAGGATAAACGAGCCCCAAATGTGATCATGGTCCAAGGAGACCGTACATGGATTGATAGGGATAATGCTTCCGGGGGTTTCTGACCAGACGGATTTGAAGGGACCATGTTCATGACCCGCCTAGGAGGAACTGTTAATGTCCATGGAATCACAGGGCACTCAAAACCTTTCAGCGGGCTGACGAATGGAAACTTATTCAAGCCCTGGTTGAGGGATCATCCTTGTTCGAAGGCACGTATCAGTCACTTTGCCTTGAAGGGATGGAACTTTTGGACACCCTGTCAATTCGCCTGGTTTGGTCAATATGTACGTTGAAGAAAATGAAGAACACGTGCATTTGGAGGAGGAGGGGCTGTGCTCCGCGTGTTTGTGTGAATGCGCATTCGGAACTTCGTCATTCTCCAGGAAGATCCTTTCGAGGGCTGCCTGACCCAGCCTCAGAGCCGCTGGAAGTCTTTGCGAGGCACCTTGCGCGTATCATTCATCGGCCCACTGGCTTTGGGGGCCAAAACCATTGCTACCCTTTTTCAGATCAACCGAGGAATTTCTTGAAGCCCTGGTTGATTAGTCAGGGGTGTCCCAGTTTGGGTGAGCGACTAGGGATCATTCACTCACGTGTTGAGTGAGACCTTTTATTAAGCCCTTTCCTGGTTCCTTCTGATTTCTGCTTGATGTGTCTCTCCTCGCGTCCTCGCATGCATCTGTTGATTTCAGCCTTGTCTCATTTGTTCGCCTTCGAAAAAGATTGGATCCTAGAGCCACCGCCAAAGAACCCAGAGTCAGAGGGGTGGTCAATGCCAGTACCGGCCACTTAGAAGACTTTTGGCCCAAGTGTAGGCCATATTTGGAGGCTAGGATTATGTTGCCTTGCAGCCTTTGTCGAGGGAGCCCCTAAAGTACCAACGAACTCCCTACATGCTCCCCCATGGTGAGCTTGGCTGAGGGATCATGGTGTGTCTTTTAGAAACGGACGCCGAAACCGGCCACCGAAACCGGTGATTCCCCTTTGGTCTTACTCTGAAACCCGCCCAAAAAAAGTACCCTCAAGAGACAGAAGGGGCCTGGTGTGCCGAGGATCGGGCCCTTCGAGCACGACATGGGCTATGAGGCCTCCACCTACTTCTTCGACCCGGAGAGCCTCGGTGAAGCGAATAGTGGCGGTCTTTTTTCGCCATTGGCTGGCCATCGGGGAAAAAGGGGGGCTGGTTGAGATAAACATGTGTTGAGATATGTGTCATAGTTGAATGTGATTCCTGGGTTCCATTTCAGGACCCTTTGCACCTCGCATGTTTTTTGCAGCTAAAGCCTCTTTTTTGCGCCTGCAGTGAGCCATGGCGTGGTATTTGATGGATTATTCATGCTGTTGCCACGTTTAGATTGTACAAAGCCAGTTCCACCCCAACATGTCTTGACACAACAGCTTTGGTGTTAACATAGCGGTCCGTCATGTACGCAAAAGTAGCGTGAAATCACTCTGAAAATACCGTGAAATTGGCGTGAAAGCCTGTTTTCCAGCGTGAAAGCACGTTTTCTGCCTTGAATTTTGACACCGTGAATCTATGTGTTTCAGCCTGTCTTTGATAATCCCTCCGCTTGTTTTGTGGGAACGGAGGTCAAGTCTTTGCACACTTTGGTCCTGAGCACGTGCGGCGCCCGAATTGTTCAATGATATCAGCTGAGCTTGGACAAAACTACTCCTGGCAAAAAACCGCCTTTCACAGAAAACATGCAAAAATCAACCGCCTTTGGAACCCCAGGGAGGAGAATGTTGTTTTTGAAAACCCAGGCATGTTGGAATTCCTATTTCAGAGATCCCACATTTTGTTTGGAGGTGTGAACACATGTCCTTTGCTTCGTGCTGAGCAACTGCCAACCTGATGTTCTGGAAAACGAGCTCATCCATGAAGCTAGTTTCGGGAGGTTTGCTTGCTTGTGTCCTTTTGTGTTTGTTAGTTTGTTTGCTTGCTTGTTTGTTTGATTGTTTGTTTGCTTGCTTGGCTGGCTGATTGTTGTCTACTTGGGGAACCGCCAGGAGGAATCTTCCGGTTGGCGTTATTGCGTGATTCATGGGTGGCCATCCCAAGCAAGCCGACAATAAGCGATTCTTGAAAAGGTCGTGCGGTTCTCATAATATGCGTTGTTTTGAATGAGTTCTCATTATATTGAGAAATAGAGGTATCACCCTCACCCGGGTAAAGATATGAGGGTTTTCATTTTAGCGGAGCGAAGCAGCACAATCAGTGTTCGATGTTTGTTGAGGCGGAGAGGCTCCCTTCGTTTGATTCAAAGCTGGTTTCTACTTTTGGAGAGACGACCAGTTGTTGGGTTCGAACAAAAATTGGGTTGCCCTTTGCCGCTCAACTGGCCAAGAGCAGAACGGGGCACCTGATGAGCAGGGGACAACTCCCAACACTTGATCGTCGTTGGTCGACGGAATTGCCTTCAGCGCAGGGTTCACCAGAGTTCCTTGATCTGATTTTTCGGGGTTGCTCACCTTCAAGGCCCTGGAAGCCGCACCCTTTGAGGGAAACTGGGTGCCGAATTTCGCCAATAAATACCAGAGGAGGTGTTTGATTTGAATGTCGGGGAGCGCAAGCAGAGTCAATCCGCTGGGGGGAACACCCGGCATTTTGCAGATTTAGCCTTACAAGGTGGAATATAAAATTGGTTGCCAATCTAAGGGATTAATTGGATGCTGTTTTAGGAGGACTACGAAACCTGCAGCAATGTGGGACTCGCGTTGATGACTGCAAATAATGGCTGCTGTGAGCCCGACCCGGGAGGGTCACTTTGTGGGACTGGGATGTGGCAGGAAAATGCTCATGTTTAGGCACTCCCACTTGCTCAGTGCCACACTGTTCGCCATTTTGTATGGTGGGTTCTCCACTTGATAAATGGAATCAACGCCCAAATTGGCTCCCCTTTTCTACCAGGCCAACTGGCGTTTTCTTCCCGGATCCTTGCCTCAGGAAGATCACCTACGTCTGGGAGTCACCAGGCATCGAGCCGCGAATTGGGTGCAGGGCTCTCTATATATTAACGCATTTCGATTTTGAGACCAACCCAGCGGTGGCCACGGTTGTAGACCTGGCAGGCCCCTCAATTCTCCAATGTCATTGGTGGGGAACGTGGTGTTTCGAGCCAAGCCCTGCGGCAAAAAAATCCAATTCAACGTGTTCAACTAGGAAAACGTAGTAGTCCCCCCTGAAAATGGCCGGCTTCTTGTCGGTTCGCCTGAAACTTCGGCAACAGGTACAAGGGCATCGGTTCGGGTGGTCCTTTCTCGGTTGCAGGTTGAATGGAATCAGCTTTCGATAGGCCTCTGTCAGTCCAACCTCCCCATGTTGAGACAGCTGCTGGGATCCAAGCTTGATGGTTTCACACGATGCCAAGCCCTTTCCCCTGGTTTCCCAAGAAGGCCCCACAACGTCCCTTTCGGTGTTTTATTTGCAGCGAAACCATGGACACCCCGTCGGTTTTTTGTGAGAACCAGAAGCCCGAAGGGACCCGCTCCGGAGCGGGGTGCCGCGAGATCTCCTCTCGAGGCAGCCGCCCGGTGCTGTCCTTGGCTGCCGCGAGCGCCGCCATCCGGGGCCTCGAGGCGATCCAGCGGACCATCGGCCAGCGGTCTGTTGGGTTTGCCTCAAAGAACAAGAAGGGCATCCTTCCCACACCACTTTCCAATCTGGCGATCTAAGCGCTTCGCCATGCATTCCACCCACCCACGAACAGTTCCTTTCATTGGAATTTAAGGCTTCAGCTTTCGGAAAGACCACCTTCAAGCGAGTTTCCTTTTGGTAATGGGGGACATATGGGAAGTTGAGTACAGGCAAGGGAACTGAGACTCGCGATGGCACTCTTTTCTGCCCGCTCAGGCCAGCCGCATTACTCTGCAGCCAATAGAAGCTTGGATTTTGAAACCCTTTCCCACAAGCTCGTTGGCGAACATCATCGGTGTTTCCATGGAACACACATTTGTTGACCTGAGCCTAAGACCGGCTAGTTGTTTGGGTTGGAACACGCATAAGTTGGTCTCGGAGCCAGAAATCTTTCAGAAAAAGCGTACAGTCTTATTCTGACAGGTTACCCTTGCCCACTAACATGAAGTCCACCTGGGGGTTCTTTGGAAGACCATTTTCCTCAACTCCTCTTGGTTTGCTGGTGGAAGGGCCCGAAAGTCAGCAATCAATTGAAGCCACCCTCCTAAGGGAACCAAGAGGCTGCAGTCAATGGGTACATGTGTCACCCCGACTGGCCGTCAGGCTCGAGACCAGGACATCCCTGCTGGGAAAAGCGCTGCTAGTGCGTGTGCATGTTTCACACCCCGTTTCCGATTTGGTTGCGGAGCCATGTGCTCACGACGCCCAGGAACCTACTGGCTGTACTTCGCCTTTGGTGTCACCATGAAGCCATGGCTGGCGGCTTCAAGCTCACCCGAGAAGATGTTTCACGGTGGCGCACTTCAACGTGATGATCAATGCCACGCGTGCGGCAGCTACTTCGACGAGGAGTTCAGCAGCGGCACGGACACGGAAGCCGAAGTTGACGCCGATGATTGGTCTCACTATCAGACCGTGGACGTGGACGGCGACTTCAAGAGCGATGAGAACGCCATCGGGAGTCAGATCTACTACGACTACCAAGCAGCAAAGCAACGATGGCGTCGGTTCACGGGAAAACCTCCTCGGCGGCATCGCCGACACAACCTCAAGCGCGATCAGAACATCCAGAAGCTGCAGAGGAGCTCTTTCCGGTCAACCTACGCCGCCTTCCTGCCGAGGTCAGCATTTGCTGGCGGAAAAGGTGGAAAAGGAGGTGGCAAGAGCCCTCGGGGCAAGGACGGCAACTTGCTCACATGTTCCAAATGTGGAAGCGACAGCCACTTGTGGAGACAATGTCCTCAAGTATCCAACAATCCCGGAGCTAGCGGATCAGGTCTGCAAGCCACGTGGCTCGAGTTGCACCTGCTGCCCATCGACCTGGAATCTCCTTCATGACCATGGAGATTCAGCAGCTGATTCCGGCGGCTCTTCCTGGCATCACCTACGGTTACATGGCCGCGAGAACTGCGACCTCGGCGGCCTCGAACAGCGGAAGCGCTGTGACCGGACCTGGGTGGAACATCCCATGCAGAGATCGAGCAGCTGCGGAGCGTCTCGCAGGCCTCGAGTGTGGTTTCATCGTCCAACTCATCAAGGAGACGGAAGATCGTTGAGACAGACGCTGTGGGATCGCCGGTGGCAATCTCGTCACCACCGAGAGACAGATGGATTCACCACCGAGCTGGTATCCGAGCGTTCCCTCTGGAGCCAACGATCAGGTCGCGGACGAGACTGAGCAGATCGGAACAGTGCCGTTGGTGACGGCCGTGGCATCAGGACTTCCAGCTCCCTCGCATCCTCCACCGGTGAGCGCGCCGTGCCTCAGCAGCAATGCGCTGGTCCCCAGAAGTCCCTCTTCACGTGGGCAAGTGCAAGATCATGGCAACGATCGGGACGAAGAAGCACGGCTACGCACGGTGGAGGGCCTGACATCCATCCTGTTGGGCATACAGAACCGGTCTAGGCAAGCTGGAGGAGAAGGATCCGAAGCTCACACGTTTCCCTGGTGGGAAATGGACTGTACTCCGGCGGAGGCGATCATCGCGGGCGATACGTCTTATCACATGAAGACAAGGATGCAAGGAAACCGAGTTGGTCTTTTGGTGGACCCCGGAGCCCATGACAATTTGATCGGCGGTGAAACTCTTCGACGTTTGGAGGAGCAGGTTGGTGCGGCAAGACGGCGGCCGCTTACCAGAAAGCTGTCTGTGGAAGGAGTGGGTGAAGGAGCTCAACAAGCTCATGAGGCTGCACAGCCCATCTTTCTTCGGGATGAGTACGACACGAGGCATACCGGACATTTCACCAGTCCGGTGATCCCCAACTCATCTCTGCCGCCACTGCTTGGCATGAAGAGTTTGATGAAGAGGTCCGCCATCATGGACATGGGTTCTGCACGACTGATCCTACCCGGTGCTGGAGGAGTGAGGCTCATGCCCTCCCCGGGATCCTGCCACTGTCACTCTCGCAGAGTGGACACCTGATCCTGCCGGTCGACCTGTGGAATGATGATCCTCGACCTGGGCAGCAAGTGGACCTCGAAGGCATCGGCAAGACGCCTCTACTCAAGCAGAACCTGAACGTCGAGTAGTGGGCGGTGGTGATCCTGGAGGTGATCCAGATCCTGAACCTGGAGATGACGGAGATGATGACGGCGGAGATGACGGAGGCGGTGATGAATGGAATCGCTTCGATTTGGGTGCGTCTCTGCAATTGCTCAGATCTCCACGAATCGGTGTTGCGCGTAGAGCACTTCGGCTCCTACACATCAGATGGTACCACCCCAGTGCCACTAGGATGAAGGCACTTCTTCAGGCGGCTGGAGTGGCCAAAGAAGTGGTCAATCTGGTGCAGGACATCACCGACACTTGTCGTATCTGCAGGGCCTGGAGTCGGCCCGGACCAAGATCGATGACAACCACGTCATTGAGAACTCGATTCAACAAGGAGGTGCAGCTTGACTTGCTCTTCTACAAGCAGTACATCATCTTGCACATGCTGGATGTGTGCACGAGATGGACCTTGGCGTCACTCATGCGGGCAAGGGACTCCGATGAGATCACGAATCACATGCAGATGAAGTGGTTTGGACTTTTCGGACCACCAGCTTTGATTGTGTGTGATCAGGAGGGAGGCCTTGTAACCGAAGCAGTAGCAGCGTGGCTGGAGCGCCGTGGGGTGGCCCTGAAGCTGCGAGCGCCAGGTCAACACGCACAAATGGTGGAACGACATCACGAAGTACTCAGACAGCAACTTCATAAGCTTGAAGCTCAAGCGACTGACGACGGTCTACGTGTTGGCTTCGAAGAGGTGCTTTCGGAGGCGGTCTTCGTGAAGAATATGCTCACTACGGTCGGCAACCACACACCCTTCGAGGCAGTGCTCGGACGCACTCCACCGATCCTCAATGTCTTGGGTGACCAGGTGGAACTCGCGGATGATGGTGATGCCTATCGTCTTCGGCGTGCGGCAATCGAGTCGATGATGCAGGTAACAGCTCAGGAGCGAGCTAGCCGTGCCGGCAGGCGTCGAACTAGACCCTCTGGTAAACTTCTTGGTCTTGAAGCTGGCGATCAGGTCGAGTTCTGGAGAAAGCCGAGCACCAAAGACATCGAAGCGTGGCGTGGACCTGCCACGGTCTGTGATGTGACTTCTGACAAGGACGGCGTCATCGGAGTGCGATGGCAGGGACGCAACCTCATCAGCCGGACGCAGGATGTGAGAAGGGCGTTGGTGTTCCTGCAGATGCTTTTCAAAAACGGCAGCCTTTCACCCGTTTCAAATGTTGCTCATGGCCGTAGAAGATCACACAAACTTCGCAGTGCGCTTGGGCTGGCTGTATGCAGACGGCAGATGGCAACAGTGCGAGGCCAATCGACACCACAGCGAGTCACTGATGGCGGGCCTCTACGCTGCGGAGAACGTGTTCTTCTTGAAGGGCGTGTATGGCATGCGGTTCGGCACCGGCATCCAATCCTTTCCGGCGATCATGTGCGATGACACTTTCGTGGTCTGGTGGGAAACTGGACGAAGTGCGGAGTGGCGACATTGCTTCACGCCGGGAACGATGCACCTCAACGTTGAGCGCACGGAGAAGAGCGCTCAGCAAGTCAGTATCATCCAGTTCCTGATGACGGACGACCCCCGAATGCTTGATGACCATGATGAACCTCGCAGTTCATCTCCGGATCCAAGAGCAAACTTTGGACGAAAGGTTGCAAACAAGATCAAGATGATTCTTGACGGGGAGGTCGACGATCAGCCGAATCATGGAGCTGAAGATGGGCGAGCAATTCCCTCTCCGGGAACGCCCAGATCCGTGTCATCGGCGGATGACGACACCGTTGATCCACAACCTGTGCGAGAAGGGCATGGATTCATCGGTGACGATGATGTAGGTCAAGAAACGGAAGACGAGGACTGGGGTAGGAAGGAGTTCGACGCAGAAGCCGAGATCTACACATGTCATTTGTCAGCGGACACCCGGATGCAGGTCAACATGCATCAGGCGGAGATCGTCCTGAACTAGTGGTTCCCAATCACTACCTGTCCTACCTCTCGTCCATCAAGCAGTTTGCAGAGCCTGTGCAATTGCATGACGGAGAAGAGTTGGTCTTCCGCTACGACATGAACAAGAAATGGTTCGCAGTCATCGAGCGTGTGAACAACATTATCACTCGTGAAGAAGCACTCCGTGAAGTGGATGCTTGCCGTGAATCAATGGTTCAAGAACTTGCTCGGTGGCACAAGCATGGCGCGTGGAGGAGAATACCCAGAAGCAAGTGCAACAATCTGTTGACGTCGAAATGGGTTCTCAAGTGGAAGGACGTGTCAGGCAAGCGAACAATCAAGGCACGCATGGTGGCGCAGGGCTTCAAGGATGCTCAACAAACCTGCAATTACTCGGCCACGACAAGTCGTTGGGGCCAGAGGTTGGTGGCCATCATTGCGGTGCAGTTCAGATGGCGGTTGGTGTCAGCTGACGTGAGCGAGGCACTCCTCAGGGGCCTCACCTTCAAGGAGCTGTTCGAAGGTGGCACTGGCACAGAGATGCGGAAAGTTCAATTGGCACTTCCAGAAGGATGTGATGAGTTGATTCGGACCATTCCAGGGATGGAAGACTTCGATAGTCAACGCGAAGGACTTGAACTTTTGAAACCTGGATTTGGGCTCAAGGACGCACCGAGAATGTGGAGTCTTGCCTTGTGCAGAGTGCTTTGTGGCGCCGGCGTGCTTCCGACGAGGATTGATCCCCAGCTGTACGTGAAGCACAACTCGGCTGGAGAACTTCTGGTTCTTCTGTCGGTCCACCTTGACGGCAAGCCCGATGACGTCGATGCGTTGCTCGCCATGTTGAACAAGGAGTTCGATCAGCTGAAGCTCGAGGTGGATAACTTCACTCACTTGGGCATCAAGCACCAGCTGTTAGAAGATGGAAGCAGAGAAATCAGCCAAGGGCACTATGTGGCTGAGTTGCGCCCCATCCCGGAGGATGTGGCGAAGGTTATGCATGAAGAAGCTCGTGTCGACGAGCAACTTGGAAGTTCCTTCAGATCTTTGCTTGGTGGCATCGCTTGGACAGTGCAGACGCGGCCAGACGTTGCGGCATATGTGGCCAGCCTTCAGAGGAAGCTGCAGGACCCATGTGCGCGCGATATCTTGAACCTAAACTTGAAAGCGAAGCCGCTCAGCATGCGGATCAGGCGGTTGGAATCTCCATGGAGCCTGGTGGCGGTGTCGGACAGCGCCTACAAGTCGGATGGCGTTGATTGCCTTACCATGAGAAGTGGTTTGATCGTGCTGATGAACAAGTCCGGCATCCAGGTTGGCACCAACCATTGCCAACTGGTGGATTTTGTGGCCAAGAAACAGACGCGTGTTTGCAGAAGCACGTACATCGCGGAGTTGTTCAGCTTGTTGAATTTGCTTGGACACGCTCTCAACATCAATCTGACGCTCACGGAGGTACTCAATGGGCGGCAGAAGCTGGAGGCGTTGGAGGAGATCCACGAGCAGGGCACGAACGCGCTGCGGCTGCAGGACAGTGTGGCATCGGTGGAGGTGAAGACGCCGACGGACTCGTCGGCTTTGATCCACGTGCTCCGGCTGCGGGAGATGCTGGAGAAGCAGGTGGCAAGTCTTGCCTGGCTGGACACCAGGGACATGGTGGCGGATGGCCTGAACAAAGGCACAATAGATCGCGATGCTCTTCGCGAAGCCGCGCAAGGCATTTGGCAGGTAAGACACCAGCCAAAGGTGGTCGTTCGCAAAGCGAAGTAACGATCAACCTGAGTCAATAGGTACATGTGCCACCCCGACTGGTCGTCAGGCTCGAGACCAGGACATCCCTGCTGGGAAAAGCGCTGCTAGTGCGCGTGCATGTTTCACACCCCATTTCCGATTGCTGCATCAAAAGGTGGAATTGCGACCATGTTTTTGACATTAAGGTGTTCATTTTGAGCCCCATGTACAAGCAACCATCAACCAAGTGGGAGGGCCCAAGTCAGCAAAGACATTTTGGCGGTCCATATTGTTCTTCCTCAGGCGGCCATGCGCCTGCTGCTCGCAATGTCGGAGACGGTTGCAGAGGCAAAGTTGCGGGTGTTCGTTTATTCCCTCTGCAAGTTCACGTGGAAACCAAACACAGGGCGAGGGTCACCCAAAAAGGAGAGTCCACTGAAACAGGATAGGCTGCATGTTCCATGCTTGGGTTTTCCCAATTCCGTTCCTTGCAATGGAGATCACTAGAGGCTCAAGCCAATGCTTCCCAACTATCAAAATTGAGCCGCCCTCGGCAGACTTTCGGCGGCGGCTCGTGTTTTGTCCCCCTTCGCTCGCGGCACCCCCGACCCCCAGAACCGCTGTGTGTCGCTCTGAGCTCGCTCCGAGAGCGCTCCGACCAGGCGTCGCGATCAGGCTAATTTTCGAGCATCCGAATATCCGAATGAACTGAAACCCGCAGAAGGCTGCACTTGTTAGACATGTCTATTCTCCACCACCCGCGCGCAGTTTTTGCATTCGTGCATATTTGTCTCCTGTCTTTTGTCAGAGTGCTAGCTTTCAATTTAGCGTCCGTACCACAAAAGTCCCTTCTAAGCTCTTTGTTTAGTGAGCAAGCCAGGACCAAACCATACGCAAGCAAGCCCAAAAACTACTCCACAGGGCGCGCAGGCTGTTCCCAAAACTCATCCCAAACCAACCTCAAGATTGTCCAAGTTAAACCCCAAGCCGGCCATAAAGCCCTGAACCGAAACCAACCGTAAAATCACCCCAGCCCAATCCCAAACTAACTCCAACCAGCCCCACCCACCATGTCGTTCGGGGGCTGTGCGGTGTATAGACAACATGTATGCACCCGTAGAGATGTCAATGTGCACAAACATATCCAATTTGCTCGCAAAGTAGTGGTGTGCAGGCAGTAGAAGCTGTCTTCTCTCGTGAATGCGCCGGCCTTTGACGGATGATGCCTCTTTGCTTTGTACAGCATGGAAGCTTCTTTGCGCCATTGTGTTTGTTGTGTATTTTAGCAAAGGGAAGCCGCTAAGCTTCGATTTGTGGTTGATGTGTGTGTGTGTGTCTCGTGCTTAGATTGCTTTTTGGGTGTCTGTTCATTTTAGTGCGGGGGCTGCAGAGAACCACTCTGTTGCCCCAGAGTTGCCCCAGCACCCCTTCATGGCCCGAGCCTCCAAACTAGGCTGAAACTATTTTTGTACCCTCCATGGTCTGAACCCAGCTATCATCACGGGCCTCTTGCCTCAAGCAAGCGTTTTGCACCGGACATCTTCAGAGGAGGAGGTGGAGACGCGCCGCTGGCTGAGTCATGGTTCACCAGGTTTCCGAACCTAACCACATGGGTGGTCTTCCTTTCGGATGCGACACACCCTGTGTCTTTCCGAAATCTCACTTGCAGGCCCAGAATGGAATCAGGGTACAATCCTTACAAACTACCTGGACGCTCAGGGAGTGACATTTGTAGATCTTTTGTGGGAACCAACCAAAATATGAGCGATCAATGTTCAACTGACCTGCAAACAGCGGTGATCCCACAGTGCATTGGATTGCTTTTGACCCTCTAAACTCCAAATCCTGATCAACGACAAGGTTCGAAAATTGGTTAGGGGATGTGTCAAAATAGGGCGCCTCCCCAAAAGATAAGTTTTCTTCTTGGTGTCTCTCTAACCACCTGGAGGGGGTACCCTCAAAACCACGCCCATCTCTGCTCCGTTTGGTTTCCAACGCTCCCCAATTTGGCAGCCTGAAAGGTGCTTGGCCGTTCCCTACGCGAACTGAAGCCATGTCGAGCTGTCCTAAGTTTGGGAAGCCCCGACAACATGAGCTTTGGTTTCCCTGCCAATTCCTTCAAAGCCGGCTCAACGGGGTATCGAGGTAAGCTTTTCAAAGGCGACTCAAACCCCTTGAGGTGTACCCCGGATTTCCGGCGGTGCGCTGTTTTTCTTTTGTCCACCAGATGTGCCTGTCAAGTCTACCAACAAAAAGAGGCGCAACAAAGGGACGGGGTCTTTGACAAGAGGAGAAACTTCCAAACGGTGCTAGTTGGTTCCAATGGAAACCTGGAGGCCAGGGCTCGGACTCCGAGGTCAACAGGATGACCTCGACTTCATGCTCCGAGGCCGTCTCCCCAGGTTCTGCAAACGTGGTTGGAAAGCCAGGGCGCTTCTCTTGCAAGAGTTTACAGTTGTGCTATTTGGTTGGATGTTGGGGAAATGTGTATTTGTGCACTATCCGCAACCCACAACAAGCTGGACATTTCCGCAGGGGACCACAGCACCACAGCCAGGTCAGTCATTGGAGGGCGCATTAGAGTACTCTGCGTTGAAGGGCTCATGAGCCCTGGGCTCCATGCAGAATAACTGTACGAACGGGGCCGCTTTTTAAGCATGGGTTTTGTGCAGACTTTTTTCATGAGCACCGGATGTGCTATTGCCAGGATATGGGCTTTGGGTGGTCCAAGTTGTATCGCTTCTAGCAGGTTGATGTGTTTCGGCTTTGGTTGCCCTATCGGCTTGCTGTGAACACATTGCCAGCTGTTCTTTGTCAAAGGGACTTGTCTCAAGAAAAGAGAGCGCCTCTTTAGCTGGTTTTAATAGGAGGCCAAAAGACAACCAACCTGTGTTCGGGTTCCCCAATGTTCACAAACACACACTTTCCCTCTTTCATGTCTCAACCTTACCTTTTTGGCAACGCCATCAAAAAAGCCAAGTCGTCTTTTTGATTTGCAATGTCGGGACACCTGGATTCCACCTTGGCGATTCTTGACATGCTTTCTTCACCCGTGTGTTTCGGCCGCTTCCGCAGCCTATCCATGTTGCAAAGGCTGAGTGTTGATGTCCATGTTGTGAATCCCTGGTGTCAACCCGAGCTCATGGATTAACGACACATATACATCTATATGAAGATATGTGTAATTGCGGCTTAACTAGCAGCCACCGAAGGACCAAATTCACAATCCTTACAACGTGGGCTTGTGATCTCACCGCTGCTGATTGCACTGCGACCCCCTATTGCTTATTGATGGCTGGTTGCAAAACATATTTCACGCAGATAGTATGGATTTGTCTTTAGAAATCAAGGAACCACAAAACTAATTAACTCGTGGTCCCCCCACTTCCAAGAAGGTCCCACAAACTCGACAGCCATAATATACATATATATATATATGTACATGTTTATTGTATTTTTATTTTTAATGTATATACATATATCGAAACAATCAGCACCCGGTGCTCATGCGATAGGCCGATTTTGTCTTATGGCCCCCACGGCGCTGGCCTTATCGCCGCGTGTTTTTCCTGAGGTGTCCTGGCGGTGCCTCGGCGCATCTGGCACTTCTTCCAGACAAGGCGGGGTGCAGCTCGTCTTTTTGGTTGGGGTACCGTTTTGTCATTTTGGGTTGGGTTTTTTGAGGGAAAGCAATGGGAAAAACGACGATGATTATTTTATTTGTGTGTGTGTGGGGTTGGTGGTGTTGAAGAGAAAGCAAGAGGAAAGCTAAACGATTTTGGGGAATTCCCCCAAACAAAAAGATACACCCGTTCACCCAAACGAGATGCATCTTTTTATATATATATATATATATATTATATTTTTTGTCACGTTTTGCAGGACTACTGAACGAAGTCTCTCCGACGAGCTGGGATGTGTGCAGGCTGGATGAAACCCCATGGAACCTACCCAGTGGTGCCTGGCGTGGATGTCCATCCACAGCATTTCGAATAAACTATGGTTGAAAACTGCAAAACGGCTTGCACACGTGTTGTTTAGTTGAAATGTAAGACACTATTTTCCCATGTGCCCAATCTGTTTCCAAGTGTTCCACTTGTTCCAAAATGGTGTGTGGGTGTGTGTTTCCATTTTTTTCCAGACCCCGTGTTGACACAACAACTGTTGGTGCCTGATTGACAACATCCTCAGTTATGAAATGGGTTGTCTCTGTTGGAGTGTTTTGCGTCGACATCCTAATGTACTACAACCCTAACCCTAAACCCTAAACCCTAAACCAGCGCTTCGCCTGAGTCCGAATTTATCCTGCGAATCTCAAGTCATGCGAGACATGAAGCGGGCGCATTGGCCATTGAAGCACACGAAGCCAGGAGCATGTCGGCCGAGCCGTCAGAAGCTTGCAACAGTGCTCGTCCAATGGTCGGCGAGAAACTCACACACTGCTAGGGATCACAGGTTGGAAAGGACTCACCAGTTTTTGCACAAAATAATGCAGGACTCACCAATGTTTTAGCTTAACTGCAACACACGCTCACTTGAGGCCCGAGGAGGATTGATGTGCCCGACTGCCAAGCTGACAAGCACATGAGCAGCCTACAAAACGATTGATTGGTAGGACACACTTGGTTTAGGAGGACATGGAGTGCCCACCCGCATCTCAACCTCAAATACCAGGGGTTTTTCGAGTTGAGACCGGGCCCCAATCTTCCTAGGGGGAGCATTGGTGTATTTCTGGTCCCCGGCTTGGGAACGAGCAATGCGTGGATCCGATGGCGGGCACAGATGCCTTCGAGGCGGGAGCTTTGATTGGAGGGCCTTTTTTTGCCAGTGATTTGGAGGACCCCATATTGTCGATTTCCATGCTTTTGAACACAAAGAGGTGCCGTCGCAGCAGAAAAGCCTCGGACACGCATATTTCCGTGCCATGCTATTGAACAGGCCACCCCCTTACTCTGACCTTTCGGTATGAAAGCCTAGAGTCTCAGTTCGGGATATGTGTTGTCTTTGGAAAGAACGTTCAACTTTTCTTATCACAGAAGTGGTTAAAGTTGTTGCAGTTCTCCAAGGGTTTTTGTATTACACGGGATTACACCCAACACACTTTCCAACTGTCATGTGGACTAGATGGTGCTAGCAGACCATCCTTTTGAAGAGGCCCCTTGTCCACTGCCTTTGGGAAAAGGGTAGCTCATAGCACCTTGCGAATTCAGATCATTTTTGTAAGTTTCCAAGAGTGTACAGGTCGCACGAAATCCTTACGCAAACCCTCAGGTTGAAAGTGCTTGATGATCATGCTGGGCTTTCCCTTCGATTATTCTAAGCAAATTGTCCAAATCTTTCAGAGCACATAGGCTGCTTGCATGCTAAAAACATGGCTGGTCGTTGGTGTGACCTTATCTTCTTAAACACTTTGGAAGCGCATGGCTTTTCCATTTAACTACTGGTAGCAACATGGTAGACCTTTGGCTCACGGTGGAAAAAAAATGCAAGAGCAACCCAGCAAACTGCCTGCAGCTATGGTCGGTATTTGATGCAAAGGACACTTATCTCACCTGCGCGCCCTTTTGCCCTTTTTGGATTTCCTTCATGTCCCCCTTTAGCCAGTAAGTAGTCAACTTCTTACAGGGGCTCTATGTCTGGCCAAGGGCCAAGTAGTGTAGATTTTCTCTTGGAGTCATGCCAAAGTAGTCCAAAAAAGATAAGGGACACTAAATAGGTTGGACCACATAAACACAAACGGAACCTCAAAGGCAGTTGTTTAAGTTGGTGTAAACATGGATGCGATCAACAGTTGAGGGCACCCTTTTGGATGATTGTTTGTAGGCCCATGATTCTGGAATGATCCACATGTGCCGTGGTCAACACTGGTGGTTACTTAGCTATTGCGTCCGGTCATGGACTGAATATTAAGAGATCATATCCATTGAAAGGATTCCCATGGGTGGTATGACAGTTCCTACTAGAGTTTTGACCATGACATGTTTCAGCAGGTTCCCGAAATTTATCCAGCTTTGAGACATTACTTTTTGCTTGCCCCTTAACGTGAGATTTCTGAGTGATAGTGAAAGTAAAGGGAGTTTCCTGTTGATCACCTTGGCTTAGATCAGGATTGCTCCAAAAGTCCTGTTGGCCAGGTCAAAAATTGTCCCTCGGCCGAATGAGCCCACTTTGGAAGGGTACCCCCAAATGCAGGCCAAGAATATTCGCGTTTTAGTGTCCATGTAGTGGTACATGAACTAAGCACATGCCCGGTCTGTTTAGTGCGAGTGGTAGTTTTCCCCGCTTCCCCACTCTGGGAGTGCAAGCGTCAGGTAACCCTTGGTTGTGGTTTTTTCATTGGTTTGGATTTGAAGCCCTGGTTCTTGTAGGTTGGGGTAACGGCTTCCCCTCCTTTTTTCACCCAAAGCCGCTGGTTCCCCGGGCTCCTTCCGGACCCCGGACCGGACCGGAGCCCGAGGCGCTGGAGACGGCCTTCGAGGAGCTGCTGCTGCAGCAGAAGCTCCTGAGCCAGCAGTGCCACGCGCTGAGGCGCGCGGTTGACGGTGGACCGCCGCTTGAGACCTGGCGTTTAAGCCGGCCGCAGGCCGTTTTTGGAGGATAAAATGACAGTGGCCTTGATTATTGTTTGGGGGAAATGATGTTGTGCAGATGATTCTCGAATTGGCTTAATTTGGCTTTGACCTACCCCGGCAGACCCATTCTAGTTGTTGTTGATTCTTATAGTACTGGACTGGCTGTGCAAGGAATGTCAACTTCGGATCTCATTGGGATTTGGGACATGGGCTTCTTGTGTTTGTCTTTGAATCCCAAAAAATGATCGACTCCCGACCGTGCTAGTCGTAGAATGGAAGGGGAGCCACTATTGACTGGTGTGGATTTATCCAAAGTTGGCATTAGCCCCGACCAGCACTGTGTTTATCTTCTGAGGCTAAGCTTGTTAATGTGAGGTTAACACTCGTTAATGGGTGCATTGTGTGTGTGTGGATTGGTGTTTCTTCCTGTTGCTGTTTGTTGATCAACGCTTGCCGTTTTTTAGGTTGACATCTGTTGACCTGGTGTGAAAGTCTTTTGATGTGTCTGTTGGCATCTGCACTGGGTGAGCACCTTCGATTAGGTGACCGACTAAGTGTGATCACAGGTTGATTTTTGGGTGACGAGATTTCTATCAGTGCCGCGTGTGTGTGTGTGTGTGTGTGTGTGTGGGGCGCCCTTGTTTTGAGTTGTGTTGCGTTGTTTTGTCTGGTCTTGCGTTGTGTTATCTCATCTCTTATTGTGCTGTTTTGTGTTGTCTTGTGCTGTCCGGTGCCGCCGTGTGTTGTCTTGTGCTGTGATTAGTATAGCGTGTTGTGACGTGTTGTAGGGTGTAGCATTGTGTAGTATTGTGTGGTATTGTGTGGTATTATGTTTTAGTGTGTGGCGTGCTGCGTGTTCCGTTCACCTCAGTTCAGTTCGGTGTTTTGTCTTGTCTTGTCTTGTCTTGTCTTGTGGTGTGTTCTGCTGCGTTGTGGTGTGTTGGGTGGTGTTGCAGTGCATTGTAATGCAGCGTGGTGCCTTGTAGCGTGGTGTCTTGTAATGTTGCGTGCTGTAGTATGTCGTGTTACAGTGTGTTTCCGCTGTTGTGGTGGAAAGTTGCATGTTCTAGTCTCTGTGTGTGTGTGTGTGCGTGTGTGTGTGTGTGTGTTGTAGCTATAGCAAGTTGTAGTGTCTTGTGTCTTGTAGCGCGTCGTCGTGTCCGCTTGTTGACGTGTCTTGTAGTGTGTTGCCACGTGTTGACCCGAGCTGTCGTGTTTTGTAGTTGTTCGTATCTTCCAAGCTCGGCTTTGGAGTGTCAGCTCGCCAGGTCCTTTGTCACCGATCGTTGGGTTGGTATTCCGTGCCCATGTGGGGAGGAGTGGTACCCTCCAGAAGAGACAAATCCATGTCATTTTGCCAGGCACGCTGCTTATTGGCAAGACCTGCGCCTGATCCGCTGCCTGCAGTCCTGGCAAAGCGTGGCGCAGCTGGAAAAAGCTGAGAAGGAGGAAGACAATCATCGTTGTCGAACTCAAATCACCTTTTGCCCTTTTGGCCTTTGGCAATTCCTTCATATTCCCTTTTGAAGCGCAACAAGTTTGTTTTTGTGCGTCGTTGCCAAGACCCGCAGGAGGCAGAGAGGGCGGAAGCAAAGAAAGAAGCCGAGAGGAAGGAGGCGGAGAGGGAGGAAGCCGAGAGGAAAGAAGCCGAGAGGAAAGAGGCCGAGAGGCAAGAAGCCGAGAGGAAAGAAGCCGAGAAGAAAGAAGCCGAAAGGAAGGAGGCAGAGCTGAAAGAAGCCGAGAGGAAGGAGGCTGAGAGGGAGGAAGCCGAGAGGAAAGAGGCCGAGAGGAAGGAGGCGGAAAGAAAAGAAGCCGAGAACAAAGAAGCCGAGAGGAAGGAGGCGGAGATGAAAGAAGCTGAGAGGAAGGAGGCGGAGAGGGAGGAAGCCGAGAGGAAAGAAGCCGAGAGAAAAGAAGCCGAGAGGAAGGAGGCGGAGCTGAAAGAAGCCGAGAGGAAAGAAGCCGAAAGGAAGGAGGCGGAGCTGAAAGAAGCCGAGAGGAAGGAGGCGGAGAGGGAGGAAGCCGAGAGGAAAGAGGCCGAGAGGAAG